GCAGGGATGATGTATTTTTGTAGGCCAAAACCCAGAAACGAGTTGCACTTCAACACTTCTGGTTCCATCGTCCATCGGTTTGTTGAATGGGTTTTTGTTTAAATGCCTGAAATAAGGTCTGTGTTTAACACAGGCTCAAGATATTTTATTTGACAATTATCAGTAATGCACCCTTGTGGTTTTTTATAACAGTTACTTGTTGGTTGCTAAGTGTCTAAATGGGACTACAGAGGTTGTCATGACAATAACCATGATCACCACGATCAGGTAATCTACTCCTCACTTTCACAGCCTCATTGTGTTTATAATCACGCTCTTGAAACTATTCTAATTCTAATTTAAAGGGAAAACGTTTTTAAATAAAGACTGATAGATTAACGGTGGTGATGTTTAAGTCGTGTGACTGTGGTTTAGTTTGTTTATAGCTTTACTCTTAGCTGTTCACCTCTGGCGATTCTATTCAGGCTTCAAAATGCATTAGTGAGGATTACCATGATGAACAAAACGTGTAAGAATCATAAACTTTTGTTGGTCACAGAGCTTATTTTCTGCAATAATCCAGAAGGCAATTGAAAAATCCTACTGGGTTTCCGTCAAGGGAACCAGGATGATGTGAACTAATATAAGAGGTTTTGGATTAATTTTTTTTTTTACCATCACAGAATCCCCATATCCTTTTTTTTGATAGTTTTGATGACTTTACTATATGTAGATATGTAGAAAATAGTCATAATAAATATCAAAATTTTCTGGTAGTGTAAAAAAAACAAGAAAAAAAAACCTTATAATAATAATAAAAAAAAAAAAATATTGCTAACCAGTTCCCAGCATTTTTTGCAGGCGTCTGTTGGAAGCAGTAACTTTGGCTCCAGGTTGTTATTTGTCAAAAACACAAGTGCTGTCAGAGAAACAGTGCAATGAGGATGTGGACTAACTATGTAACTCGGTGGAACTGAACACCGTCTGGCTCCCGGCGGCCCCACAGACAGCAGCGGCGCTTTGATGGACTGCAGTCTGCTGGCTAATGCGTTTTCCCCTAAATTAGGCGCTGAGTGAAGCGATGCAGTGCATTTGTACAACAGCGCAGAAAAAGCCCAGGGTGGCAGTGGTCAACCAAAAATACAATAAACAGGCCCATTAAAAACTTTTTTTTTATGCCATTCTTCAATGCTTTCCACGATTATAAGAGATTTTCATGCATTCTTCTGACATGTTTGAATGATGCACAACACCTGGAATATAGGGCACTTGTAGAAAGACCTTCTTTTGTGTTAGTTTCATGCTGCTTTTGTCTTTTGTGGAGCCTCATGGTAAAAATCAGCATGCACCATCAATTTATGGAAAAAAGCAGCTCAGACATTCTGGAAAATTAATTCCTTGTGTGGTCCTCAGTGTTATTTTAGTAGATACTATTATAGTTTTTTTTTTTTTTTAAGATTTTGAGGTTTACTTTACTTTTTTGAGGAACACTTTACAATAAGATCTCATTTGTTAATGTTAATCATTTGTTGATGCATTAACTAACATGAACTAATAATGAGCAATATATTTTTACAGCAGTTATTAACCTTTGTTAATGTTAGTTCAGAGCATTAAACTGTTAACAAATATAACTTTTATGAATGTATACATGCAGAGATTAACATAAACGTATATAAATTAATAAATTAGAAGTATTTTTCATTGTTAGTTCATGTTAACTAAAGTAGGTAACTAAAGTTTACAAATGGAAACTTATTGTGAAGTGTTACCAATTTTGAATTCGATTTTATTTTTATTTATTCGCTTTTCTGTTCAATTTTAGTTTAATTGTGTTTTTGTCATTTTTATTTTGTATCAAAATATATTTTTGTTAATCTTTAGTTTTGAGATATTTTAGTATTTCAACTGAACAAAAATGTCACCTTGGCAATTAGGTGAAATAATATAAGCTGTATATATAATATATTTGTGTTTGTCATTTTAACTGTAAATGACCAAATATTAGTAAAAAAAATGCTTTAAAAACATGCAAAAAACTGATAATTGGCTAACAGAATGTTCTCTTACAATATATGGTAAAATACTGTAAAAAAAGAAGAAAAAAAGAATGTCATCTTACAATTTACAGGTAAAAGCTGTGAACTGTATCATTTCCAGAACTCCCTGGGTGATTTGTTGGTATTTTCTTTATGCAATTGCATTTCTTAATAGTTTATGTTATCAGTTAAGTATATTATACAGTTATGTATACTTTCTCTTCACCACCTGTGTTATTATGGTGCTTGTTTAGTAGTATGTTATGTAACATCAGCGTAAATAATGAGAGAATCTTCATTTTAACTCTGAAATTTCACTCCTAATAAAGTAATGAAATCATGTGAAAGACAGTGGCGTTTGAAACACGACACTAGAGTGATGTGATTGATGCAATTTTGCTGTTAAAAGTGGATAAAAGTTGCTAGAGTTTCCTCATGGGAGCGTGTTCAACAGTGCAAAGCAGATTTAATCTCTCTCTCTAAAACTGATGGATCTACTTGAAGAATATCCATCAACAGAGAATTGCGAACTATGAAAGCATTCAAAAAAGCTGTTTTGAAATCCAAACAGTTCCATTATATAATATTCAAATCATGTGATTTTTCCAAGTTTTATAATCATGACTCCATCTTTTTTTTTGCATCTCGACAGATAGATAGATAGACAGATGGATAGATAGACAGACAGACAAGACAAGACTAGACATACAGACAGACTAGACTAGACAGACAGACAGACAGACAGACTAGGCTAGACATACAGACAGACTAGACGGACAGACAAGACTAGACAGACAGACTAGGCTAGACATACAGACAGACTAGACAGACAGACTAGACTAGACAGACAGACTAGGCTAGACATACAGACAGACTAGACAGACAGACTAGACTAGACTAGACTAGACAGACAGACAGACAGACTAGACTAGACTAGACAGACAGACAGACAGACTAGACATACATACAAACTAGACAGACAAGACTAGACTAGACAGACAGACTAGACTAGACTAGACAGACAGACAGACAGACTAGACATACATACAGACTAGACAGACAAGACAAGACTAGACTAGACAGACAGACTAGACTAGACTAGACAGACAGACAGAGACAAGACTAGACAGACAGACTAGGCTAGACACACAGACAGACTAGACAGACAGACTAGACTAGACTAGACAGACAGACAGACTAGACTATACTAGACAGACAGACAGACAGACTAGACAGACATACAGACTAGACAGACAAGACTAGACTAGACAGACAGACAGACTAGACTAGACATACAGACAGACTAGACAGACAGACAGTCAGACTAGACATACAGACAAAGGCTAGACCCAACAGACAGGCAGACATACAGACTAGACTAGACATACATACAGACAGACTAGACTAGACTAGACAGACAGACAGACAAACTAGACTAGACTAGACATACAGACAGACAGACAGACAGACAGACAGACATAATCTATGTATCTCATCTACTGGGTCTTTCCATAATTTTATCCACTCTGCTTATAGTATGTTTGTGGTCCTAATAAAATGTCAAAGAACAGTTTTTGCCATTTTTCTTACAATTAGTGAAGTAGTGCTATTCATGGAGGCATGTCACAGTTCACTAACACATGTGCTTAATTAGCTTATTTATCCCTTTAGTGCCACAGCAGACTTATGCAAAATATCACCTCACTGTACTTATAAATACACATAATCACCTCGTCTTACACAGATTTATCAGCTCTTAATGATTTATCAATGTGTGATGTTGGTTCTGGAACATTCCCATCAAACACAATATCAACCCTACACCTACTGTACTCGTACACTAACCCTCAGATGACAGACTGGTGGACAGAGGATCCGAGGGAAATTAGGCTGTATAAACATTTAACCAATCAATCAGGAAAATAATAGTGTTCTATAAACTTGTTTTTTTCTAAATATTTCTGACTGTAACTCCTCCCGAGCTTTCAGAGTATATACACTTACTCTTCAAAAGTTTGGGGTTGGTAAGATTTTTTTTATGTTTTTGAAAGATGTCTCTTCTGCTCAGCACAACTGACTTATTTGATAAAAAATACAGTAAAAATTGTGAAATATTATTGCAATTTAAAATAGCTGTTTTCTGTGTGAATATATTGTAAAATGTACTTTATGGCTGAATTTTCAGCATCATTACTCCAGTCTTCAGTGTCGCATGATCTTCAGAAATCATTCTAATATACTGATTTGCTGCTCAAGAAACATTTCTGATTATTATCAATGTTGAAAACCGTTGTGCTGCTTCAGATTTTTGTGCAAACCGTGATTTTTCAGGATTCTTTGATTAATCGAAAGTTCAGACTGCTTTAAAATTTGACAAATAAGAGAGAGAGAGAGAGAGAGAGAGAGAGAGAGAGAGAGAGATGTAAAATTAATAACACTAGTAACAAGTAGATTTATGCTGGTTTTAAAATAAAGCTATGTAAATGACATTTCTGTGCATTCCACACAAAGCGAAGCACCCTGATGACACACAGACGTTTGTAAAGGTAAAGTGTTCCCACTTGTCATCATGATGTGTGATGAACCACAGTGAGCTCTGAGCATATTCAGAATGATCTATGAATATATTTACTCACATCTGGGAACACATTGTTTTCCATCTCTCATTGGGCCGCACACTGCTGCAAACTCATAAACTCTGGAGAAAGTGCACTGTTCCAAAGATAGAAAATGAACCAAAATACCAGTAACATGTTTAAGAGTGCATGGAATGATACTGAATGTGCTTGTAATGAGCATGATGGTTATTTACACGGGTACAGATTGCCAGACAACACCTGTCATCAAATTCCCAATTAAAAAGAAATACGAGCCACTTCAGACCTTGGTATACTGCATAACAAATAGCACAACTCTAAGGGTTTTTATACAAAAAAAAAAAAAGTTTAATGTTATGCATTTAGTAGGTTTTCATAGCCTATTTGACTTCATGTGTCGCTGCACTGTGATGATAAACTGCTCCAGTGGTTTCTGAGCTCAATGCATCACATCCGCATGTAGGCCACCTGTAGAGACAAGATGAACAGCCTATGTTTAGATTACCATACTAACATACTACTCTCACAATGTCTGCAGTATATAGTACAGTATGTACACGGTGCAAAAAATCATAGGGAATCTGGATGACCTACTACATGCTAAATGTGCAGTATGTAATATTAATATACAACTTAATGCATGAAATACTGTATCCTACAATGCAATGCATTCAACTAGACTGAAGTGTTTAGAATGAACCGGAATTAATATTAGCTGTTTTATTTTTCTATTAATTCTTCATCTCAATGAACTACCAAATGTTTCTTTTCCCAGTTATTATTTCCAAGATAACAGCTGGGTTTCACACTTGCTGATCTACAAATACAATATGATGCAACAACAATTAGTGTACTACTGTCTATCACTGTAACACACTGTATTGTTTCACACAAAGGTTGACAATAACAAAGTATTTTTTTAAGCTTTTGAGAAGTCTGATTTTCACATACACTTCCATTTAAAAGTTTGGAATCAGTAAAATTTAGTAAAATCTGCATTTATTTGACCAAAAATACAGTAAAAACAGTGATATTGTGAAATACTATTACAATTAAAATATATAGTTGCAAGCAGCAATTGAGGGGCCAAGCACAACAGATGTAAAATTAAGAGCTAAGGAGCTGTCTTTAATTACTCAGTTCTTCAACCCTGCTCCTGGAGAGCTACCTTCCTGCAAACTTTAGCCTCGTACACACCGGGACGATTATCACGCACGCTTATCGCCGACGTTTGTCGACGCGTCTTTTGTGTTCATACCCAAGCAATTTTCACAGGCGATGAGCCGAGTGAACGTGCAAATTCACTCCCTGACATTAGATGGCGCTTAATGAAAAACAGAAATACCCCGGTACACATTGAATCCTATTTGATCTGCAATTCCTCTCCATAACAACTACAAGTGTAGTTTAGCCCCCGCTGGGATGTGCGCGCTCATAGCCTATATCAAAAAGTTTAAACTGGCAACAGCCGTATCTCTCTTACACAGTTTGGAAGCGGTTGAAATTAAAATAAACGAGTGTACGTTGTGAGCAAACAATTTGTAGAGATCTGCCAGAAGAAGCAGTCACTATGAACAGCTGATTTGTACGGAAACATCTGATGGTCAAACTACATCGGAATTCACAAATGGAAAAATCAAGTGAGCCCGGGCCGATTTGTGTTCACAATGCACGTTTTTAGCGAACCGTACCTTTAGCCGAAAGCGAATCGTACTCAGACCACCTCCCGAGATGATCTCGGTTCGGTTCGGTTCGCTACTGAGGGGTCTGAGATCGTTTGGAGTGTTCACATATGGGCCAAAAATCACGCGAACCGCGCTCAGACCCCTGAAAAGGACCAAGTGTGAAAACACCCTTAAGTTCCAGCCCTGCTTCACCACACATGTCTGTAATTAAGTAGCCCCGAACACCTTGATTAGCTGGTTCAGGTATGTTTGATTAGGGTTGAAGCTGGTAGCTGTCCAGGAGCAGGGTTGGAGACCCCTGTTAAAGACATTTGTTGATGCAGAATTTTACTACAAAACTAAAAATGGCCGACGCCCAAAAAGACATAGGAAAATTAGGTATCGTTCTATTCGGTATACCATTCCTAATCTAACAAGACCAATCTTATGATTTTTGGCCAATCTGGTCAGAATTTATAAGCAGAAAGGTCATTTTTTATATATTTTGACCTGTAGGTGGCGCTGTGCCAAAACTTCTTGTGTGCTCTCAGGTCATGCTTGGTATAACACAAACCAAGTTTGGTCAGAATCCGCTAAAGCGTTGTGAAGTCTCATGTCCATTTTTGCGCAAATTTCCTCAAATACGGTAACATGCTTTGAAGGGGTCATGAACTGAGAAATCAAAATTCCATTGATCTTTTGACATATAAGAGGTCATTGTACTATAAAAGCATCCTGTAAGTTTCTGAACTCAAAACTTTCTCTTTAGTCTAAAAGCAGCTTAAACTGAAGCCAATCTGCCAAAATGACAGATTGTGGAATGTGCCCCTTTATGATGTAATAGTGTGGCTAAACCCCGCCTCCGCAGAAGAAGATGCTGCTTCTACAGCACTGCCTGTTTAGCCCCGCCCACCGATTCACGCATGTAGTGTAAATAATGAGAGAGGCAAACGCAGGTCTACACAGAAACCAAATGATAAAGATGCACTGAAGACAACAAGACGCTGTGCAGCGCCAGCCTGTGGAAAAACACAGTCTTTGCATCGCCTTCCTTCTGACCGCAACATTAGGAAAGTGTGGATCAACTTTATTTTTAATGTGCCAACTGTATTGGATCTGACAGTAATGTCGCACCACACAAGTCAGAGTAACTTTTTTTATTATGTGGTCACTATTGCTTTGTCTGTTATTACAGATCGCTTGATATGTACTGAGTATTTATGTGTTTATAACCTAAATAACAGCAGTGTCCATCTATGAAGGATGTGGGCTGTCAAACATACACAACTGTTAGTCAATCCCAGCAGTGGCGTTTACTTCAGAGTCGACAATCCGCCACACCTATTCAAAGAGAGTGTTCTGATGAGGGGGTCAAAACAGGACAGAAAATAGCCTATTACTGCTAAAATATGATGTTTTTTGATGTAAAAACTGATAACATTATAAGTGGACCTCAGAGAACAGTACGAAATAATTTTTAAAAAGGCAGTTAATGACACCTTTGTGTGATGAGGATGGTTTGGTCTATCGGAAATCTTTTGATAATTTTGCCAGCATTGTCTGAAGATGATCTGTGCCAATTTTGTTGAAAATCGGACAAACCATCTAGGATGAGCTCGAAAAAGTACATTTTTGCAAAATTCAAAATTTCGAAAAATCTTGACCCATAGAAATTTAAATCCTGTTTAAATCTGACTCGGCATGAGCCAAGGAATCAGAAGAAAAAATAATTTTGCTTCTAGACTTTACGGTTCAAAAGTTATTAGCAGAAATATGAATGCAAATGTGGCCTGTTGGTGGCGCTACAGAGTTTGAGATAGAGACTCCAAATTTGCTATGGTTAATATGGAGACTCTCCTCTCTCTGTGTGCCAAATTTCATAACTTTCCCACAAGCGGTTCCTGCAAGAAAACTAACGGATACAATACGTGCCTAAGCACCTTCAGTGCTTGGCCACTAATAACCGATTCCTATTTCTATGTGAATATTTTTTCAAATGTAATTCATTCTTGTAATCAAAGCTGAGTTTTTGCAGCATCATTACATCATTACTCCAACTTCAAAAACAGCAGCATTATCATCTGGTCCACCTGCTGAGAAATAACTAATTCTGGGATCTTTTCATTTACAATAACAACCTAAAAATTAAAATGTTGCCACAAATGGCCACTGAACTTTGGTAGCATAATGTAAAAAATGTGGCAAACAGACAGGAGTGACATTTAACCAAATCAGCTTCATGCAGGCCTCGAGTCCTGAGATGGACGATGATGAACTCTCACTCAAGGATTCGTCCCTGCAGTGGGTTCTTCTCGGCCTTCAGAGAGCGTTACACAGCCAGTAACTCATGCACAACATCAAATAGACTGTCAAACCAGCTGCATTTCAGTTACATACATCACAGCTACAGCTGAGTGGCCCTACATCACAAAATCCTACATCACTGTAACTGATATACACTAGCATTTAAAAAGCACAATCAGTATGTGTTTTGTTTGTTTTTAAAGAAATTACATTTTTATTCAGCAAGAATGCACTACATTGATCAAAAGTGACAGTAAAGACATTTAAAATATTACAAAAGAATAATGGCTGCTGAAAATTCAGCTTTGCATAACAGGAATAAATGTAATTTTAAAGGAGTCATATGATGTTGCTAAAAAGAACATTATTTAGTGTATTTGGTGTAATGAAATGTGTTTATGCGGTTTAAGGTTAAAAAAACACATTATTTTCCACATACTGTACATTATTGTTTCTCCTCTATGCCTGTCCGGCCGGAGCGATGAGACAAAAACATTAAAACCCATTATAAACGAGGCATTTGTTGCACCCAGTGGGCACATAATTACGGATTATAATGACTTATACTGTCTTTTTACGCATTGCGTTGCTGGTCGCAGCGCAGATGCACGAGCTTGGCGAGTGAATATACCTTTCTCACAGACATCACTGGAAAGTTTGTAGTTCGGTCGGATATGTAAAAAACAAGTAAAACAATGCACACGTTACTTAACGTTATGGAGAGAGAGAGTGAGAGCACTTCTGTTGTGTGATCTTTGATGTTCACTCACTTAGCATTGATTGTAAACTATTACATACCTTTCTATCAAAGTTATCTGACATTATCAAGCTGAATTTGTTCTGACACAGTTTAACTCTCAGTTCTTGTGATATTGTATTACCATTTTCTAAACCATAGCGAATAAACTGTGATAACGTGAGAAATGTTGAAGGTGTCTGAAAACATTTTGGTTTGACTGTATCTATCTCATAAATGAAGTTAACCAACTAACATTATACATACTCTCAACAATACTACAGCGAGAATAAAAGTTACGCCTTCTTTTTTTGCGTGAACATTTGGGTGGTGTTATGCAAATCTTCCCACATCGTGACGTAGACGTGGGGGCGTGTTAGAACGAGCCGTTTTAGGTAGGCGTGGTTCACTCTTAACTTTTATAAAGAATATATCTTTGGATTTGAGACTTTAGTCTTTGCAACTTTACAGATCTTCTTTATGCACCAAGAGCTTGTAACACTTCAAAGAGAAAGGAAAATTTGAAATCGCATCATATGACCCCTTTAAAATATATTACAACAGAAAACAGTTATTTTAAATTGTAAACATATTTCACAATATTACTGTTTTTACCATTTTTCATATTGTCTTCTCAAAAACATTAAAAACTCATACCAATCCAAAACTTTCTAAACAGTAGTGTATATAACAGTAATTAAATGAGAAATGAGTTTAAATTTGATGCAAACCAAACTATCACTTCATAATATTTGAATGTCGACTCTGGCATCACTGCAAAAATGGGTCTTTGAAGCTCTGATTATTTCAGATATTAGTTGGATCAACACTGGAAATCATCTATTCATGTAAACCTTATCAACAATAACCTTTTATATCTATATAGGTGTGTGCTGCGTGTTTCTGCTTGTTTTCAGCACAACAAAGGTGTTGAATGAACTGTACACAGCACTCCCAGAGGCACATGTGCTTGATGATGCCTGTCTGCCATTTTATCATCAAAGCACTAGAAAAATTGGCAGGATGAGTGATAGTTTTCCACTTGATGGAGAAATTTCAATGCCTCCAACAGCTACAGCAGAGCAAACACATGCTGCTAGCATGATAAACAAGGTCAAAATAAACCATGGCAACATAAGAAGGACCAAAAAAGAAGTTTGTTTAATGTGACGCAAAGCTTTTGGCATTTAAATCACCCTGTAAATGACCTGAGCTGAACAGGCTGACATTGTTTATTTGAGTTGCTGCCTTTGTAGAGTGTACAAAATAGTCCACTTAGGTTCTGTTTCAGTTAGAATGTTCCCTTAGAAGGTTGCTGCGTATGTAGACATTAAGATTTGG